TTCAAACAGTGTGGTACTGGCATAAGAACAGGCATATATTTCAGTGCAACAGAACTAACAGAACTGAGAAACCAGAAATGGATTTCTGGATCAATTGATTTTCAACAAGGGTCCCAAGACAATTCAATATGGAAAGAATTGTCTTTTCAACAAATGGTACTAGGACAACTGGGTACCTACGTGTAAAAGAATGAAATTGGGTCGCTGCTGCACACCATATACAGAAACTAAAATAGATCAAAGACTTAAATGTAAGTGCTGAGACTACAACAAAATCTTAGAAGTCATAGGGGTAAGCTTTGGCTTTGGAGTAGAGGATGGTACCTTAGGACACGCATGTGCAAGCAACAACAGAGCAGGTAAACTGGTCTTCGACAAACCACAAACTTTTTTTTTTTTTTTTTTTTTTTTACTGCACAGGACGCTATCAAGAACACGAAAAACAACTGACGACATGGAAGAATCATTTGTCAATCATGTATTTCATAAGGGAAGTGCAAATCATGTCTGATAAGGGAATTGTATAAAGAATACTCACTCACACCTCAATAATGAAAAGACAGCCTAAATTTAAAATGGCCAAGGAGCTGAATAGATAGCTCTCCAAAGGAAGTATGCCACGAGCACGTGCACAGAGGCTCAATGTCCTTAGCCATCAGGGAAACGCAAATCCAGACCACGGGGAGATGCCACTTCACATCTGCTGGACTAAGACGGCAGTGGGCATGCGCACGGAGAACGTGGACCCCTCGTGTCCCGCCGGCGGGTCTGACAGCCCCTGGCAAGGTTAAGCAAAGCGGTCACCTATGATCCAGCCGCTCCACTCTCAGGTGCCACGGAAACATATTGCCACACAAAAACTCAGGCAGGAATGTCCTTGCTGCGTTATTTGCAATCGCTGAAACATGGAAAAACTCATGTCATCAACAGACGAATGGATAAGCCAAACTTGGCACAGCCACGCCGTGGGGTACTATTTGGCCACACAAAGGAAGCAGTCTGCAACATGCATGCACCCTGAAAAAGCTCACCGAAAGGAGCCCCCCCAGAGACCACCTGGCGTGTGACCCCATTTCCATGAACTTCCAGAACCCACGGGGTGGTAGTTCCACGTGGGGGTGCGGGGGAGGAAATGGGGGTGGCTACTGATGAGAACAGGCTTTCTTTTTTGTGGGGGCAGTGAACACAACTTCATGAACACACTAAAAACTATGCAACTGTGCACCTTAAATAAGGTGAGTTTTATGGTATGTGAACTGTATCTTAAGCTACTACTTTTTTAAAAATGTAAAAAGCAAGCCGAGCAGCCTGGCCAACATGGTGAAGCCCCGTCTCTACTAAAAGTACAAAAAAATAGCTGGGGGTGGTGGGCACCTGTAGTCCCAGCTACTCGGGAGGCTGAGGCAGGAGAACGGCTTGAACCCGGGAGGCGGAGGCAGGAGAATGACTTGAGCCCGGGAGAAGGAGGTTGCAGGGAGCGCAGACCGCGGCAAAGCACAGCTGTCCGCTGGGGAAGTGGGTGATAGATTTTCCGAGTCTCTAACGCGGCTGTGACGGTGACACCGTCCCTGCAATGTGACACGTTCCCAATCGCGGATCCTTACAGAAACGGCAGAGCCCGAGCGCGCCCTTTCCCCGCCGCTGCTCCCCCGCGCGCCTGGGCCCCTCTCCCGGCTCCTCCTCCGCTGAAGTCACGGGCGCGCTCCCTCCCAGGAGCCGGCCCCGGGGTCTGGGCGCGCCCGTCCCGCCCGCAGCGGGCGAGGGGCCCCGGGGGGCGGCGGGGCGGGGACCTCGGGCGCGTGCAGACCCCGCCCCGCGCCGGCCAGAGACTCCAGCCCACCTGGCGACCCGCGGCCGGGGCGGAGGAGGAGGAGGCGGCGCGGGAGGAGCCGCCGCGACACAGCTCGGGATCCCGCGCGACTCGCGGGTTTCGGGGCCGCGACCCTGCCCGGGACATGTGGGCGCCGGTTGGACCCCCGGGGCCCGCGGGCTGGGACCGCCGCAGGTTGGGCGCGAGGCTGCGCGCGGCGCTGGCGGGGCTGCTGGAGCTGCAGGGGCTGCGGGCCGCGCAGCAGGAGCGGGTGAGGGACGCCCTGGCCGTGCAGCCCCCGCCCGCGCCCGCCGCCCCCTGCGGCCCCCACGGCCACGCGCAGCAGCTGGAGGCGGCGCTGGCCGCGGTGCAGGAGCAGCTGGTGAGGACCGGGCGCCGGGGCCGGCGGGGTCGGGGGTCGCCGGGGTCGGGGTCGGGGGTCGGGACCGGTGCCGGCAGCGACGCTGTGTCAGCAGGAGGGGGGCTGTCCATGGGTGCAGGGGGCGTCCTCTGGATTTGATCCGGTCTCCGAGGAGGGGGACCCGGCCCCCCCCCGCCCCGCGCAGGTGCCTAGCCGTGAAGCGCACAGGCGGGGACCCTGAAACCGGCTCGGGTTACAGCTGGCACCCCGCCCTGCGTGGATGTGCGCCCACCCACGCCAGCATCCCGAAGCCCTCAGATTTTGGGGAGACACCCATGCGTTTGTGACAGCGCTGTTCTGACCTGCGGGTACTGACCGCTGTCCCCGGGGGAGGTGGGCTAGGGACCCTGACTTCACCTCCAGGGGTACCAGGCCTCCTGCCGTCTTGGGTTGGGGGCAACAGTGTCCGTGTGGCAAAGCGCCCCCCGACTTGTCCTCGGGAATGTGCTGACGTTTGTCACAGGTCGCGTCACTGTAATAGAATACTAGGGGACAGCTTGTAACTAACAAAGGCCTCTTCAACTTTAAGATGTGACCTGCCCCGTGGGGAAAGGTGAGTCCTCTGATCCAGAGCAGAAACTGATTTCCTGGCCCTCCCGGCACTGCCTGGGCGCTCCAACCCCTCCTCTCACACAATGGCAGGAACTCCGGTCTTTGCCCTCTGCTCATCATGTTGCAGTATGACTTTGTAAAACTTACTGGCAACAACTCAAAAGAGTGTTGGAAGTAGTTGCCGTATTTTCTTAAAGAAAAACTAGAAAGGTTGGAGAAAGATGTCTGTTTACGTGAGTTACCTCTATTACACTCAGTGGAATTTCTTTTATGTTAGAAATTTAAGACTGTCCTGTTAAAAGTTACTGCCTCTACAAAGTGGCCCAGGTGAAGCGTGGCATCACGGTCAGCCTAGCCCACTCAGCCAGGCTGTTGACGTAGCAAACCCTTCTGGATGAAAGAATCAGGAAGCCCAGTGTCTGGGACGCCTCCCAGGATCCCTGCTATCACCTCACCTTGCAGGAGACCAGGTGGCAGACTGCTGGATTAAGCCCACTGTCAACTCTGCAGCTTCTGCCTCCTGAGAGGGAAGGAGCTGGTGTGCAGACTTTGTTCACTTGCCCAGTGACCAAATCCTGGCTGTTAAGTCATTTGTGTGTTTGCACCCAGACACAGTCTCAAGCTTCTCCGCTTCTGCATGACCTCAGCTCAGCGCACAGCAGTCACGGACTTGTTACTCGTGTGATGGGAAGGGAGGTGCTGCTGAGAGGTCTCAACTGTGCCGTCAAGGGGCGAGAGTGCAGTTGATGATTAACTTGGCTTAAGAAATATACAAATCAAACTTGCAAGTGCTCAGCCTCTAATTACAAGTAGCCTTTTGGATGAGAAGATCAAACAGGGTTTTGTTTAATTTTTTTTTTTTTTAATCGGGGACCAGAAGGAACATGCAGACTTTGTCTTGAAACTTTGTTCTTGGGATGGATTTTGTGATCAAAAGAGAAGAATGATTGAATTTGTGTGACATCAGCACAGGGCTTAACACTTGTACACTTTTCTTACCGGGAAAAACCTTAGGATTGATAGCAGTTCTGTAGTGTTGAATACAATGAAAAGCTGTGCTTGCTAAACAGCTGCACACTCCAGCAACTCCCGGCTGACTCAGGGCCCCTCCGCCCGCCCTGGTGCTCACCTGGCCATCGGTCATCATTCAGGTGTGAAGGCCGGAAGAACATTTATCAGGCCCTGAGCAGCTTTAGCCGACAGGAATTCTCAGGTGCGAATGATTGCTAGCATTTCCAGGGATTTGAACTGCCGGGAAAACAGCAGCACTCCTCACCTGAAGGCTTATCGAAAGCACTGCCCCTTTTTAATTGCTGTGTCACAGAAGAGAGTGGAGGAGGAGGTGATTAGGGGGATTTTCTTGAATAAATAAATGAGTGGCTTTTATTGCTGCAACAAAAGGAAAAATTATTTCAGAATTTGGGGTCTCCCTGTTCTGGGTTTCTAAGCTGATGAAACCCCCTACGCCCTCCGTGGCCCCTTTGCTGCTGCGTGGCCAGTCTATAGAGGGTTGACTCTGCATCCTCATTTATGGTTTGCAAGGGAACTTGTCATTCCCGACAAGTGCCGGCCATGCCCATATTCATGAGGGTTAAGTTCCCCAACAAGCCCTAGATGGAAAGACTTCACCCACTCCCCGGGACCCAGAGCCCACGAGTAGACTGAAAACCCCATCCTTCACCAGTGGATGCTGTCTTCATAGCAGGGAGACACAGAAGGCTCCGGACTCTGCAGTGAAATCTTACCCTGAAGAATTTCCCTGCCTTGGCGTTGCTGGTCGTGACTTGTTCTGAAAGTGGCAGCTTGCAACAATTCCTTTTCCCTGGCAGCTTCCGGCATCCCGTGCTTCAGGAGCAAGCTGTGCGTCTGCTTCTGCAGCGTCAACTTGATGCTGGCGTTTCCCTTGGGCCAACCATGCTTGCTTTGTGAACACACAGGGGAACCAAGGGAGGCAGGGCTGAGAACTTGCAGGGGGCCACTCCTTAGGGCCAGGCAGCCCCAGAAATCTACAAGGCTTCGGTGGCGCTGCTATCCATGAGTCCACCTGGGACCCCTTTGCTGTTGATTGATGGGCCTCTTTTAAACTTAGGTATTGGCATTTACCCCTCTACAGAATGGAGGTGTTAGCCTTGGAATTCAGGCATAGAATGTTTCCTCTGTGCATTCTAGCTCTCAGGGACAGAATGGAATTGTGGATACCATCTCCATATCCTGACCTCTGCGGCGTTTCCATGTTTCACCTCTGCATGTGCCGTAAAGGTGCTGCAGTGGCTGGACTGTTGACTTGCCCACGGAACAGGCACAGCACGTGGGAATTAGCTCATTCTCCTGCGGTGCACGAAGAATGCATTTCAAAGGGATTCGCCTATTTTTTTTAATGGCACCCCCTGAAATAGAAGTCCTCAAACTTTTTGTTGTCATAAGGAACTTTTGTGGTCCCTAGGAAGCCTGTTAAAATGCAGGTTCCCAGGCTTACTCAGTGGAGTCTCAGGAAATGAGTGGGGCCCAGGGTCTGCAGGTATGCCCAGCTGTCTCACTGCCTGGGGAGGCTTGCTGTGAGCGCCTTTATATCAGGCCCTCCGGCCCCTTCCCCAGGCCCAGGGGTTTTGGCTCATGTGCCCCCAGAGCTCACCTTGAGCAAGGCCGCCTAGAGTTAGCCCGAAGACTGGCAGAGGGCAGCCTGGAGTTAGCCTGAATGCCCATAGAGGGAAGCGGAGCGCCGAAGCCACCCAGGGCTCAATTGCTGCTGTGGAGCGAGTCGGGCCAACTGTGGACGCGTGTGGAGAGCGTGCTGTGGGGCTGGCCTTGGAGTGAACCGTCCTCCTTCCCGGCCACGTATCTTTTCTGACTGTGAGCACAAGGTCTGGCCCTAAGAAAGAGTGAATGAAAAGCACAGTCATACAAACCCCAGGTCAGGGCCAGCGGTCGGGGTTGGAGACAGTGGCCAGAGTTAGGGCCAGCGATTGGGGTTAGGGACAGTGGTCAGGTTTAGGGACAGCAATCGGGGTTAGGGACAGTGGTCAGGGTTACAAACAAGGCGTAAATCCTGAATGACGGAGTCCTGCAGACGCAGACAGGACCTGAGGATGTAATAAATAACCTGTGAATGCCTGAGAGCTCTGCGTGTCCTACAAACCCCTGGACCATTAATCAGAAATCAGCAACTGAAGGTGGGGCTGGCCAAACATTAATCACAAAGCAATTAACCCGCACAGACACTGGGGCGGGGAGGGGCTGGAGGAGGAGGACAGAGCTGGCCGTGTGCAGGGCCCCTCCTTCAGAAGAAGGGGAGTGTGATTTAGAAGAGGAGAGGGAACATGGATCCTTTTCAGCACTGAGGTGTGGCCTCACAAAGAAACTGAATTTTCTGTGGGAACCTCGGGTTTTGTTTTACGACAGGCAAGGGAAAATCCTGAGCTGTAAGAATCCCCCGCCCCTCTGTTTGGATCCAAGCTTCCTCTTTGCATGGCTGGAGTGTGAGAGCCCTCGTGTGTGCTGCGCAGGCTGGTGCCGTTCACCCGGAGACTGGTTTACCTGCGTCAGAACGTGCAGGGTGAGAAGCCCGCATGTTTACATGAGGCTGGGTGGGCCTGGAAGCACACAATTTTGATGAAATTCAGGGTTTTTTTTTTTTTTTTTTTTTTGCCATGTTCACATTCACAGATAATATTATGGCTTCCAATTCTGTCACTGTGCAAACTTGGGAGGTTGTTGGGAGGCTCCAGAGTTGGATCCTGCAGGAGGGAGCTGCTGCCGGCACGGAAGCTGTGCGCTGGGTCCCGGCCTCCGCTGTCCGCTCACCCGCGTTGATCGCAGGCACTTGCGTTTGGAAAATCCGAGAACTCGTTCTCTCATCAGACCAGGAAACCATCGCTCCCTGCCTGTTTTGTAATGACTTCTCATATTGTGGAAATGACCACAGTCATTCCCTAAAGCCTAGGTTATGGGATTCAGAGGAATTCCTCATTTCCTGCGTAAAATTTGAAATATAATTAATCATTTTACTAAGAGAACCAACCACATCATTACATTCATTAATTACTTGCCTAAATCGTAATTGTTAATCAAAACAAGAAATGTTTTAGAATTAAAAGACACACACACACACACACACACACACACACACACACAGTGTCCATGCTCATAATCACCGCTTGAGAGCTGGGGAAGCTGAGGCCCGTAGAAGGCACAGCCTCTCAGGGCAGGGCTGTGATGGAAACTTGGAAATACCCAGCCCCTTGGCCAGGCTCCTGCCTGTAATCCCAGCACCTTGGAGGCCAAAGCGGGTGGATAACGTAAAAGCAGGCCTTGGAGACCAGCCTGGGCAACATGACAAGACCCCATCTCTACAGAAAACACAAAAATTAGTGGGACATGGTGGCTCATGCCTGTAGTCCAGAGACTCAGGAGGCTGAGGTGGGAGGATCACCTGGGCCTGAGGAGGTTGAGGCTGCAGTGAGCCGTGATTGCACCACTGCGCTCCAGCCTGGGCAACAGAGCAAGACCCCATGTCAAAAACAAAACAAAACCAAAGATCGTGAAGGCAGATTTCCAGCTGCCATTTATTTATTCCAGGTAAAGCTGACATTTTCCATGTTTGGCTGAGAACCTTCTCTCCTGGTAGCTCTACCAAAGCCTGTCACAGTTCGAAATGTGGCTTCTTCTATCAGGGAGGGAGGAGGGGCTGAACAGTCAAGGGGAGTGTATCTGTCTTTCCACTGGAGTTTCTCGCCTTCTGGAAAAGTCGAAAGGCTTGTGCCTACCAGGCACCAAAGACCCAGAGGTGGCCGAGGGAAGGGTGCGGCCGGCCCAGGCAGGCGCCCGGAAAGCCCGACACAGCGGAGCACTCTCCTAGGCAGGCGCCGCCCGGTGGAGGGTGGAGATCGCTCCTGTCTGCAAAGAGGAGGTGCTGTTTTCAATCCGGATTTCACTCTGGTATGCTGTCGTGTTCTGTGTCCTTATAAAGAAATGTGTAATTTGAAAAGTTCTGACGAATAAAGCAGTCTGAGCTGGAGAGAAACCCACGCGTGTGTGTGGGAGTCGGGGAATGGGTGTCAGCGAACAGCGGAGCAAGGAAATGGCTTCAGAATGAGCAGGGCCAGCGCCAGATCGAGAAGGGGGTTTCACGTGGACCTCGGGAGCGTGAACGGCGCTCACCATGCATCTTCAGTTGTGGTTTCTGTGGGCTCCATCGTTCCCTTCCTCTGCTTTCCTTCCTCAGTCGCGGCTGCGACAGCGGGACATCGGCCCGAAGACCCACCTGGACCAGCTGGACCTGCAGATCAACAAGCTGCAGCTGGATCTGGGCCCGATCTCAGGAGAGGCCCCGGACAGCGACAGCAGGCCCAGCTCAGGTACCCGGGCGCCCCGACCTCCCGTCTCGGGCTGAGCTCTGCAGTGTCCGGCAGGGACAGTGCTGCTTCCTCAGGCCCATCTGAAAGTTAGGAGGCAACTGAAGCCTGAGAAAGCATCTACGACTGAAGAATACTAAAATGAAATACTGTTATGTCAAGGGGTTTTAGGAAAAAGGGCATATATATGAATTGGCTACCTCACTCTTATTTTCGTAATTTGCAAAGATGACATGGTGGTCTAAGTGACGTTGCTGGACTCAGGAGGCCTGGGGCGGAAGCCCCTCCCCATACTGGTCCACTCCTCACCCTAACTTGGCAGCACCAGCGGGGAGAGCCACGCAGGTGCCAGAGGCCTGTCCTCAAAGGGCTGAACTCCTAAGAGGCCACCCTTTAAGCAGGCATCAGCCACTCAGTGCTAAAGGGACCACTTGCCAGGAAAAGGGAGGGCCAGTGCTGGAGGGCACGGGTGGAGAGGGCTCTGACCAGCCCACTAACAGTTCCTGGGAAGAATCCTGACGTTCTCACCGGAGCCACACTCTCCCGGGCCGGCTGTATGGACGATGGCCCAAGCCTCCCGTAGCCTCAGCTCAGGGGTTCCCCCGGGCCCTCCTGTGCTGTGACAAGCTCCAGAGGAGAGGGGCCCTGGGCTCTTCTGGAGGGGGTCACTGACCTGCCGTGTCTGCTCTGTCCAGGCTTTTACGAGCTGAGTGATGGTGGCTCCTGCTCGCTGTCGACGTCTTGTGCCTCTGTCTGCAGTGACCGCGTCTCCCCGTCGATGGGCAGTTTGCTGCCTGTGGCCCAGGCCCCCAAGGCCAGGCCCAGCATGGGGGACTGGAGGCCCCGGTCGGTTGATGAGACTGCTGTGCCAGCGTGGAGGCCCCAGGCTACCCAGGAGGGTGACAAGCCGCCAGGCACCCTGGGGGAGGCAGGCCAGCCGTCGGGCACGTTCTGGCCCAGGCCGGTGTCTACAGGTAAGAAACCACTAGGCAAGGTAGGGGTCTCATCTCAGGCGCAGGGTTCCGGAGTGCAGCCCCCAGCTGCTGAGGGACCCACACGAGCGTGCTCTGCGGCTCTAACGGCCACTGGAAGCCTCCACAGGCCACGCGGTGGTTTGGAGGGAGGCAGGAGTCCAACGCCCCGGGTGTGTCACCACCAGCGATTCTAGAGCAAAGCACTTTGCCCCGTATTCAAAACAGGAATCAGCAAGTTTAAAAGCATCCTGTAAAGACCCTGGATCCACTGGTGTGTGGAGTGAGAGTTGGGCTGAAAGCGCTGGCTGGGAGAGAACTGGGCTCACACCTGGATCCCGCCTGCTGGCCCCGGAGGGGCTGCGGTTGTCTTCAGACTGTCTCCAAAGGCACAAATGTCACTTTGGGCCTCACTTTGTTTCCAATACAAAGCCTGGCTTAGTAGTAACCATTTGGTCTTTAGTTACTGCGAAGCCCCATGGTTTCCTCCAGGGCGTCTGCAGGGACTGGCTTCATGCCCTGGCCTCCCTCCCTGGCCTCCCTCCCTGGCCTCCACTGGGGCTCCATCCCGTGGCCGCGGGGCCTCTTCTCTCTGGGCAGCCTCCAAACCTTCCGGGAAACAAGGGTGCTGAACTGGAGATTCTCACTGCCCATGCACTCTTCCTCAAAGGGAAGGGTCGGAGCAGGCTGAGGGGGTTGTGCTGCAGACGCAAATGGGGCCCTGCAATCTCTATCTGGAGGGGGACCCCAGTGGCTGAGGAGTCGCTGTCTCCCAGAGGGCCCAAGAGTTCCTTGAGGCAGCAATGGGCAGCATTTCCTTCCTGTCTGCCACGCACGAAATCAACAGCACACTAAATCCCCTCCCTATTCAGGTCTTCATTTTTCTCATTACCAGGTGATCTCGACAGAGCCCTGCTGGCAGACACGGGGCTCCAGAAAGCCGGCCCCGACCCTGAGCTCCTCAGGCTCCTCTGCCAGGGGGCAGACATCCCGCTGTACATGCTGGACCCCAAGTATCGGCAGGACCTGGTGTCGAAGGGAGGCAGGGAGGTCTACCCGTACCCCAGCCCCCTGCACGCAGTGGCTCTGCAGAGCCCCCTATTTGTCCTGACTAAGGAAACCCTGCATGGCAGTGGCCCCTCGTCCCCTAGGAAGGCCCCCCTGGGCCCTGCAGCTGTGAGTACTGTCCAGACTGGGCTGGTCCTCGAGGCTGGCCCGGCCAGAGCCAGAGCCTATATCGACAGGCTGCTGCGTCTGTGGGGCCGGGAGACCCCAGCAAAGGGTAGCGGGGGAGAGCAGGGACCTCAGAGGCATGCAGTGTCCCCACCCCCACAGAGGCAGGGTGGCTGGAGTGCAGATGGTGGAGGCCGACTCAAGAAGCTGGTCTTTGCCCCAGGGAGGGAGGATGAGGGAGGGCCAGCTCCGAGGAGGGGTGCCAGCAGGGGCGGCCCCCAGCAGCAGGGACCTATGCCCCTTGAGAGTCCTCAGCACCCTGGCAGCCTTCCAGAGGAGAAGCCCCAGCCCTCGAACCATTGCGTCCTCAGGGAGACCATGGCGGGGCCGGCTTCCAGCTCACAGGCCCAGCTCACACCCCCAGCTCAGGACTGTGGACATGACAACAGGTTGCCATCCAGGAGGCTGGACGAGAGCCCCCCGCCGTCCTCTGGGCACTTTGCCCACCTGCCCTTTGCTGCCAGCAAGCCTTCACCACCATGGCCGAAAACGGGTCCCCCCAAGAGCAAGGCTGAAAAGATGAAGAGAAGGCCCACGGACAAAGTGCTGAGGTTCGCAGGGCAGCCGCCGCTTCGGCTGGAGAGGCTTGAGGGTGCCCAGGCTGCCACCCAGCTATCCCTGGAGTGGGACTCTGCCCACTGGCCCCCAGGGAGGGGCGTGCTCCAGAGGAGGCTGGCCCTGGCCTGGGAGGTGCCTGGGCGCTCCTGTTCTGAGTCTACCCTCTACCCCATGCCCGTCCTTGTCCCCCTGACGGTGGCCCCGCAGGAGAGCCAGCAGACCTCAGCCCAAGCCCTGTTCCCCGTGGAAGCGACACTGCTGACCTCGGCGGCCAGGAGGAAGCACGGCCGCTGGCAGTCCACTGTGGACATTTCGGGGCGGGCCCGCCTGGCCGGTTACCCAGAGTCTAACCTGGGGCCCCCCAGACCCACGGCCAGGAGGGTGGGTGGCCCACAGGCCCGGGGCCGGCCCGCACTGGTCCGCCAGGATGCCCACACCAGGAGCGACTCAGAGCCCTCCAAGCACTCGGCCGAGTGTGACCCGCGGTTCCCCTCGGTCATCCTGGAGACCAGCGAGGGGGAGGCCAGTGAGCACAGCACCAGCCGATTCGCGGACCACGAGTCCGGCAGCAGCGACGGGGAGGGCGGCGCCCGGAGCAGGGATTGCGACCCGGCCATGGGCCACGCAGCGGCCGGGCACAGGGAGCTGGCCTGGCCCCAGGTGGGCCTGGTCAGCTCGAGGTCACTCCTGTCCCCCGTGCCCAAGCTGTGCCGTATCAAGGCCTCCAAGGCCCTGAAGAAGAAGATCCGCCGGTTCCAGCCGACGGCCCTGAAGGTCATGACCACGGTGTGAGCCGCCGCGGCTGTCGGGAGGAGCCGGTGCGCACAGAGGCTCTTTCCATGCGGTGACCTGTGGTTGGCTGTTCCAGGGGTGCCCATCTCCCGAGGCCACCACGGAACAGGAGGCCCCTCAGATGGGCTGTGCCTGTGGAGTGCAGCCGTGCGCCGCGCCCCGGCGAAGACCCGTCCGGAGCTCTGGTTTCAGCTGCCAGCAGCCTCCAGGCCGACCCAGCGTCTGGTTTCAGCCTCTCCCCAGACGCTGCTTGTTCCTGGCAGTGCCTGCTCCTGCCTCGTCATCCTCCCGAGGCTTCGCCTGCCCTCCCTCCACGCCGCTGGGGACGCGGTTTCCAATCTTTCAGCCATTCCTCCCCAAAAGCATCTTAAAGAGACGGTTGCGGGACTCTGTGTTGGAAATTGTTTTGAGCTTAAACTCCATGTTAAGCTGTCAACACGCATAAACACCCAAATCATGCCATGATCCCCTCAAATAAAAGGAACTTTGTTTTCCTGTTTTAGCGTCCTCCTCCTCCCTGCGCAGTGGGGACCCGGAACACTCAGGCCTGCCCATTGCGGGGCACGCTGCAGCTTCGGGCGGGGAAGGCACCTTATAAATGACTCGAGACTAAGCTCTAGTTTCAGTATAAAAAGTGAGACATAAAAGTGTTATAAAAAAATAAACAACAACAACCTGTTTTTGGTGTTTATGTTTCCAAAGAGAGTTTTCCTCAAATTTTCAAGAAGAAAGATAACAGCGTTTCCAGGTAAGCTGCCTGGTGACGGCTGTCACAGTTGCAGTGCAGAAAGCAGCCTTCTCCTGAGTGATTAAAAGAATTTTACGTGAAGGTGGACAAGGCCGTCGCAGTCCCTGTGGACGTCCTGGTCTCTCAGGGCTGGTGCAGCTGGGCAGGATCTTTGGAAGGAAGCCAGTAAGAAAACCAGTGGAAGACAGGAGTGGACTTTGTTTTTTTTTTTTTTTTTTTTTTTTTTTTTTTTTTTTTTGGTGGAGTCTTGCTGTGTCGCCAGGCGGGAGTGCAGTGGTGCAATCTTAACTCACTGCAATCTCCGCCTCCCAGGTTCAAGTGATTCTCCTGCCTCAGCCTCCCAAGTAGCTGGGATGACAGGCACCCGCCACCATGCCCAGCTAATTTTTGTATTTTTAGTAGAGACTGTGTTTCACCGTGTTTGCCAGGATGGTCTCCATCTCCTGACCTCATGATCTGCCCGTTTTGGCCTCCCAGAGTGCTGGGATTACAGGCGTGAGCCGCTGTGCTTGGCTAAGTGGATTGGGAAGGAGGTGTTAAATGTTCCTAACAAGGAGTTGGTTTTAGATGCTGATAAAGAACTTAACATTTAGAACAAAGTGGGGGTGACGGGAGGATGCCGAGGTTCCTGACAGTGAGGACGGTGGGTGCAGGCTACGTTCTTGTGCAAACCATGAGAAAACGCAGGTATTTCACAGGGGCCAGAGCAGACTGACATTCAGATACCCATTGACCTGGTCTGTGTGCAGTTCCACACATGGGTCACAGCTGTAATCCAGTGTGTCCACACCACGGCCCTCAATAGTGTCACAGGGCCCCGCTGTACACCGGCTTTTCACACACCCCACGGCCCTCAATCGTGACACATGGCCCCACTGTGAACCCGCATTTCACACGCCCCACGGCCCTCAGTCACGTCACATGGCCCCGCTGTGAACCCGCATTTCACACCATGGCCCTGAATCGTGTCACACAGGCCCTGCCACTGTCTGTGGAAACAGCAGTTTTCAAGGGGGCTTGGCCAGTGAACGGCGTGTGCAGGCTGTGTTCTTTCACGCACACAGTTACCAAACGTACCGAGCTGGCTGTGTGGCTGCCTGTGCCATCCAGGCTGGGAGGTGCAGCTAGGAAGGACTCCTCCCTCCTCTCCTGGCCATGGAGGCTCCATAAGGCCGACTCATTCCTCACTCCGGCTGCAAACCTTCCCTCACGTACCCGGGGGTTCCTGAATCTCCCTATACAAAATCATAGTTGGCATTTTTCCCGGTGCAGCAGCTATCCAAATTATTTTTACCTCAACTGAGTTAAATGCTGCTGCAGCTTTTATGGCCCCAAGTAGAAAATGCAATCACATCAAAAGGTGCCCTAGAAATGGTAAAGAATAATAAAAACGGTCCTGGCTGAAAACAAGTTATGTGTAGCAAAAGCAGTGGCGTGAATGGTCCCGAAAATGTGGCGAGGAGGATGGGACCACAGTTCGACGTTCCTGACACGCCTGGGGATGGCGTCACATCTGGGGCCCAGCCCGAGCAGAGTCTCAGCTCTCCGCTCCTGGAAGCAGAGCCTGGCTGGGATCCTGCGCTGCTGACTCAGCCCAGGACCGGATACACAGACGGGCTAATCAATAACCCCAGGACAGCAGGGGTCCTGCCTGTCCTGGGGGAGGTGGGAAGCAATGAACCTCTGTAAAAGCTTAGAGGGACGCAGAGGTGACCCCAGGGCAGTGAAGGGCTGAGGTGGGGCTGAGAAGAGTCAGGCGAGGGAGGGAGGAAGACTGAGAGGTGTCAAGGAGCAATCCAGGGAGGCGAGCGGGCCTGGACAGTCACCAGGTGTGGGCTCTGGCCCATCCCATAGCTCCCAGTTCCAGCTGGGACAGAGGATCAGCCACTGCAGACTCTGAAGTGTGAAATAGTCAATGTCCACCAGAGGAGGACAAGCAAAGGCGGGGAGAGACACTCGCCACAGGGAAGGCTCACAGCCGGCACGCAGAGCCCCGGGTGCGCCCTGCTGGAGGCCAGGCCCCTGGGAGCCCTGAGCTCTAATGAGAGGCGGGTGTCCTGGGGGCATAGCTGGCATTCTCTGGCTGGTTCTGAATTGGAAGCTGTCAGGATGGGTCAGGTTGTGGCTCTCTGAGACTGATGATCACAGAAGTTACTGCTGAGCTCCCTGCACCGAGTGAAGATGGCAGTCTGGCTTCCTGCAAGCCGGGCGCGGCCACTGCCTCCTGGGCTGTGTATTGTCGAAAAGCGTCTGCCTTCCCCGGCAGGGGTGGGTCGGAGTTCTGTTTTTATCCCTGATCCAGCCTATGACACTGTGTGTTCAGTCCTCAGAAGGAGAGGCGTGGGGGAGAATGTAATTCTATTTGTGTTTTAGAAAGACCCATTCTCCGGGAGGCTGAAGTTCCAGAGAAGGGGCCCGACCCAGGGCCTGGCCACAGGGACTGGGAGGAAGCGGGGGGCCCACGCGGGTGCTGCGGGCGCAGACGCAGAGCTCAGGGCTGCTTGGTCTCGGAGGCCCTGGCCGCTGATGGCCATCACAGGCGACAGCAACACAGGAAAGTCTCCAAGAAAACCGAGACATTTCCACGTTTCTTCGTCCCCAGGAGGAAATGGAGTTCTCACTGAGGTCAGAATCTCTTTATAGAAATAATGCTCTAGTCAGTCTTTTAACTTCTATTTTTGAATTTTCAATTGCCCTTTATTCCTACGTTTCCGTCGGCTGCAATCTCCCTACCAAGCGCAGAGTGCCCGGCGGGACCCGACAGCGGACCCTTGGCTGTGGTGCTCCCCATTAAAGCATCCTTCTCCCAAGGAACCGCTCTCCCCCATCGCCTGCCCGCACCCAGCTTGAGCACTTACTCCGGAATTTCACATGTTTGTTCCTGCCATGCATTTTCCATCCTGGGTGACAGGACGTGTCTGGTTCCAGGACAGTGAAGCAGGCACAGGCCTCTCTCTGTCAGCGCTGGAGAGAGCGCGTTTCCTTCCTCCTGACCCAATCCCTTCTGGAGGGACGCTCCCCGGGTTGACTGCAAGGACACAGCCAGTTCCCGCGTGTTGCCCGGCCCAGCCCCAGCCGCCGCACCTGTCCCCATGCTGATCTGCAGCAGCAGTGAGGGGGACCCTGTGTGTGAGGGCTGCGCTGGCCACCACTCAGGAAAAGGCAAGGCATTCTCTGCAGTCCCTGAAGGCCTCAGCGTCTCCAGCGCATCTGCCTTAGGACAGCTCCTCACCGGGGGCTCTGAGGTCTGCCTGGAAGATGCTCTCCCAGCCCACCGGGTCCTGCAGACAAAGTGTATGGTGACCCCTGGCCCCAGAATGAGTCTCTGTGACCCTGAGGGCCCCTGTACGAACAGCCACATGGGCCCTCCTTCACGGTGCCTGGTGTGCCTCGCTGCTTTTCCCGTTCTTAGCTGGCCTCTGCTGTCAGTCCTGAGGTGGGCTGGGGCTCTCAAGACCTCCTGCAATGACAGGTTCGTGTTGGGTGGAGAAAACATCTATTGTACACCCGTCTGGTGATGGAGGCTTCAGCGAGGCATGCAGCCCAGGAGCACATGGTGGCAGCATGTGGGAGGAGCCGGGCAGTGGCCAGGAGCTGGCATGGGGAGCATGGTGGCAGCATACTGAAGGAGCCAGGCAGTGGGTGGGAGCTGGCATGTGAGGACTCGGTTGACTAAGAATTTGCGGCAAACGAATCTGTGTTTGGCGTGAGCAGCCTGTGTGGTCCGCCGGCTCTAAACCACGCCTCTTTTCGTCCAGACGTGGCCAGGATCTGTGAGTCCTCGGAAGACATTTCACCTCACTCAGAGTCACAAAAATCAAACAATGACAGAAACAGTTCCTGGAGTAGAATACCATTTCCATTTTACTTACATTTATTTATCACCGTCAAATATCCTTTTTATTTAGCCAAATTTCAAACTGTTAGAAACAGTGGACGTTTTGGAACCCAGAGTCAGGCAGATCCTCAGAGTTTGTCTTTACCTGCAACTGTGAGCACAGAACTCACGTGTGTCGGTCTTGGAAAGATCACAGGAAGCACAGAGCTGAGAGCAAACACCTGGAAGGAGTGTGCCTCTCCACGTGCTGGCGCCGCCGAAACAAATCAGGCCTGAGCTGGAGAGGCCTGCACCAGCCACTGGCTGAGGAAGATGAGATCCTATTTAATAGGAAGATTTTTTTTCCATATAATTTTCCAAATATAATTTAGGAAAAATAGTAATTTATTAGACTCTCAGGGACTTGTAGTTGAAAAATGTCAACTGTTTATTAACTGAGATTTACAGCACAGTTGTGAGTGGCTGACATCTACTATCGACCATTTATTTTTAACAAGTATATATGATTAACAATTTACAAAGTACTTCTACAAAAATATTCTTCCGGTGCTCGTGACAATCGCATGAGAGAGAGATTGTGGGTATTTATTTTATATCTATACTATATTTTAAAGCTAAAAGAGCTAAAGGCAAAATGAATAGTTGGCTTGCTTAGGGCACCCACCCAGGCAGCAATTAACCTCAGGCCTCTGATTTCCAAAACCTCTTGCCCAAGGTCCCAGCTCGCAACCAGAGAGTAAGCCTCCGAGCAGGTCATGGCCTGTGTATGTATTCATGTTAATCTCCACAGGGGTGCCAGAAGAGGATGCTAAATCAGCGCTAAAGAAAGAAAGTTGAAGCCCCAATGTGTGGACTTTGTCTGTTTTTATTGGTTCATTGCCTTTTTCTTATTTAAAAACATATTTAAAATT